ATATACTAGGCTACCAGCTGGGCCGCCCGGGTCCCGGGTGGCCAGCCCGTGCAATGACAAGGGAAGGTCCCAGCAAAAAAAACAAATCCAAAAAATCCGAAAAAAAAAACTAATGTTACGCAGAAAAATAAACTGTACAATTTTTTTATTATTATTTTTTTATAAACTCCATATATTTCAAAAATTGCAATCGAGGCCGGGGACCTCATTCTACCCCCAGTTATCCTGGCAGCATCAGCCCGTTTAGCTTTTAGTTGTCGGAACTGAAAGCACTTACGATTCTCCCCTATCGGGTAAACACTTACTGATGTGCACAAATAAACCAGGCCTGATAAACTGAAGAGAGACCTGGCTGTGCCGATCCAGCTTACAGCTTATATATCTACTAACCTACCCGCTGGCACAACCGGTAGTTCCAGTGTTGCGTCGTATGCCTGGGTTGCACTAAAGCAATGCCTAGTCCCTTTCATATGCACTACCACTCAATTGGGTTTGAGTATCAACCCAGGCATGCGACGCAACACTGGAACTACCGGTTGTGCCAGTGCAAACCCAACCAACTGAAGAACAAGTGGTAAATTTGACACACTCGGTAGTGCTGAAAGGAATGGGTTCTGTCTCTCGATTGCAAGAACCAAGGATGGGCAGACACTTGGTGAAAATGCAGGCCTGTATGGGGAAAAGAAAATCATACACTTTGCTTTTCTGAGTTTGATCTCCCTGGAGGGCACTAAGGAGCAGTGGCTGCAAAATACACAGCCCCATTGGATCCCGGCTGCACCACTCTTTGCGACAGATCCAGAATTTCTCAGAGGTGTCCGTATGGGAAAGGGCCTGGATGCTCAGCAAGTGGCGGTCTATCACTAATTTAATAGCGTTGAATTTTAATCTCATAAGAGATGACATATTGTACGATGATATCATATTATCTATCGGCTGAACCGCACAGACGCGCAACAACAGATCCCGCCCAGTGGTCCAGTCCTTTATGAACGGGACACAGACTCGTGGGTAAAAGATAAACAGAACAACTTTTGCCTAAGGGTCACATTGAAATTCTTTACCAATTTTAAAATATAAAATAAAATTTTACAATTTCTTTTTTTTTTTTATAGATTTTACATCGTTTTGGCCCGGCCGGGCAAGTGACCCCGGGGACCATGTTCCACTAGCTCCGTTGCGCTAGGTCTAAGTTTAGTTTTCTGCGCTGTGTGACTGCACGGGACCACGCAGATGCACATCTTCCTAGTTCCATCTAGCAGTCCGTTCTTAATACAATAGGCAATAGAGACTATGGTTGCTTTTTCTTACAACAACAAAAAGCAGAACTAAATCCTTTTTCTCGAATACTACTCCCCCTACCCTCGCCACTTTCCGTTGAGCTACTAAATCCTTTCTCTCGAATACTACTCCCCCTACCCTCGCCACTTTCCGTTGAGCTAGCCGTCTCCTTTTTTTGAGACACTCAGCTCAACGACCTTCTTATTCCCCCAACAGCCGTTTTTTTTCTGGAGACAACAGCCTTTTTTTCTGTAGAAATTGTGCAAGCCTCGTTCCGTTTGCCATTTTCGGCTGTGCAGTTGCCCGTGTGCCACTCCAATTGTGAAAAAAGAGAAAAAAGAACGAAGTGTATCCACACGATTTATAAATTCACTTCTCATTTTCAATAGAATTAAAATGAACAGTTTCAGCTGTCACACCGTTGAGTTGCCTCAACTAAACGGTGCAAGTGGGACATGGTCCCGGGCCACTCTGGTAGCCTAGTATATAATATTATATTGTAAGAAAGTTATCTATTTTTTTTTTCTTTTTTTTTTTTTGGCCCGGTCGGGCAAGTGGTCCCGAGCCGCTCTCGTAGCCTAGATCTCAACCCAATGAAATCAGATCGAACCCCACTGAAATCAGATCGAATCCCACTGAAATGAGATAAAGTCCGAGTGAAATCAGATAAAGTCCGAGTGAAATCACATGAGTAGAATAACTCTGATTTTACACGCGGTCCGTCTGTCAGTCAGTTGGAAGATGATATCTCAAGGTCGTCGTCCCTTTCCAAAAAAAAACGCAAAAAAAAAACGGAGAAAAGAAAAGAAAGACGTCCGCACATGACACAAGGATAAGCCTATTCTGGTCGGACACGCGGCAACAGCGAGACAGCGCAGACAGCAAAGTGGTGCCACACACACAGGGCAGAGAGCTGCTGGCCGGACACTACACGTCTTTCCCGGAATATAATATAGTACAGCGATTACATCTGTACCCAGACTAACTTCGGTCCACATACGGCGACAATGACCGTGCGTTCTGTTCGGGGGAAGGATGGGTAGTCACACCGGCGGTCGCACACACCACTGGCCACAATTTTCGAATCGGACGGCTCTAACCCACCAGAGCTGGACAACTACACAATTTTTTTTATTTTTTATTTTTTTGGATAATTTCTGGATTTCTGCGTGTCATCCTTTTCACGCAGGGGCCATCCTAATCTTCGTTCTGCGTATCGTTCCAATTTTCACGAATGTCCCCGAGGACAGAAATTACACAATCTTGCTGCTACCGTCTGGCAGAACATTGAACGAGAGTCTCATGTGAGCAAAAAGGTGCTCCCATGCTTCCTCAAGTCGTACACTAGGACTTTCCGAATGTATCTGGTCTCAACTACAGCCAAATGCACTCCAGAAAGTCCTTCCGTCAGTAATATGCGCTTAGTACCATCATCGTCGTCGTCGTCCTCCTCCTCCTCCTCCTCCTCCTCCTCCTCGTCATCATCATCATCATCATCATTCTTTTGTCACCATCCTCATAACCATCAGCATGCCCCTTCACATCGCCCATTATCCTCCGGTGCTCCCATGCTTCCTCAAGCAATACACTAGGACTTTTCTTGAATGTATCTGATCTCAACTACGGCCAAATGCACTCCAGAAAGTCCTTGCGTCAGTAATATGCGATTAGGACCATCATCATCGTCGTCATCCTCCTCCTCTGCTTCGATAAACCTCGACGGAGGAAATTCAATTCGAAAAAAAAAAAAAAAAAAAAGGCAATTGCAACCA